AATCCTCTCGCACGTTTTCTCCCAGCCTTTCATGTCACGTTGTACTGAAATTAACTGCAGCAGGGTACAAATGTCCCCAACAGTTGCTTAAAATGAAGCAGAAACAGGAATTACAGGTTCGATTCAAGCTGGCAAGTTGCGTGTCTCTCAAGCCCTCGGCGGCGACGGCCTCTTTCCCGTGTCAGCAGAAATACAGACCCTGCACTGCTGCAAATTTGGACCATGAACACTGATTTGATTTGGTGCGCCTTAAACGAGGCTGAGGGAGAGCAAGAGGAATAGAGTGAATGTTTGTGCAAAAAGACGAACGGGAAATGGTAACTGCGTGCTGCGGTACGCTGCGGTTTCTCCACAACATGGGCGGGAGGTATTAGTGAGTAATTGTTTGACGTTTTACTTCAGCAAAAATAACTGCATTTCCACAGCAAAATAAAACCAGTAAAACAGGATTTGCTCTAAAGAGCTGCAAAACAGTGGAAAGACTTACTCTTTCTCCTTTATCGCCTTTGGTACCAGCAGGACCCTGGAACATAAAAGCACAAGAGGAGAATAAACAGTCAACAGGGCTGAATGCTCACACACAGCCATCTCTTTTTCTATCCCCATCTTATCAAGCTCCATCTCTTCATCTCTTTTCATCTCTGACATAACAGCTAGTACAACTAAATACATCTAAAATATGACAAAATGAGCCCAGAGTCTTTGTTTTCTTTCCATAACACTCATGAGCTCCAAAGTTAGTGTGCTCACAAACAGAGGGCATCATCTGTGTCTTGGATGGGCTTGCTTTCCTCCAATGTCAACACTGTAAAGCACAGAGATGCATATCTGAACACAGTACGCGCATAATCTGAAATACCTGCCAAGCTTGCATATCAGAGGCAAATAAAAGACAAAGATTTCCTGGCTGCGTGAACCGTGAGCTGATACAATAAATATAAGTTTGATGCTGCTGCAGCTTTTGAATAGAGTTTTGTTTATCTTGGGAAAACGTGTCCTTGACCACCACCTGACAGGCTGCGTTTGTGTGTGTGAGGGAGGCTGAGCTGAGAGGGATAGAGAAAATGCGTGCATGCTGGCCCGGGATATTATATGCGTATTATACCACAGATGATAAAAAGGCTTTGCCAACATTTGACACAGTGGCTGAATTGGAGTGCAGGTCTGAACAATAAAAGTCTCTTCCTGGACCTCCGCTGCGTGCCTGTTTGGAGGTTCTGAATCTTCCCGGGCACATAAATGTCGACTACCTCATCAGGTGCCAAAGAGCACAAGAAAGACAGAAGAACAGCTCTGGTATAAATCAAATTTCTTTTATGACTCAATCAAAAGTGTCTTTCCATCATGTCTTGTATACAAAGAGTCTTTCCAAAGTGCAGAGTTGGTGTTTTTTCACTCAAAATATTTCCCATTTTATCTGAGAAGGAAAGTCCACTTACGAAGACTTCAAATGTGGACTCATAAAACAGCCACTAGGTTTGTTCCTTTTTTCCCTTTTCATAACTGGCAAACGCCAGCTAGTCAACCCCTCAGGTGGTTGACTAGCTGGAAACCACATCCAGAAACTGTATCTGGACTCGATCCCACAAACTCAGGACGTTGGCGAGAGCTACGACGTGTTTCAACATCTACTGACAACCAGAATGAGATTTGGCAAATATGCAAGTCAATCAAGAAGTAAAGCATATTTAGATTCTCACTCAGTCTTCTCCCTTCCAAAGACCTCCATGCATATGTTTTGTTCTGGGTCTCTATTAAAAAGCTTAATAAATCCCTATATTTACAGATGGCGCATAGCATTTCCAGATGCACCATGTCTTCCCTAACAGAACAGTTTGGGTTTCACATTAGATGCTCGAGGCAAGAATTT